CTAATTTTGCAGAAATTTATAGAGCCCCTAACCAAAGAGGACTAACCTACTAACCATTAACCTAACATAAACATACGATACGACAATCAGTTGCCATTCGGGCGTATTCGGGCATTTGCATTGCGCACGTGGGTTGCACATTGTGAAGGAGTTTAGCCTCCCATAGATGTTGCCAAGTTGAATATTTCACGCGTGATTTGCACACTTCAACGTGTGATGCGTGGGCAAGCACTGTTGCCAATTCAAAAATATCGACCTAAAAACAGGATATAAAATCAAAATCCATGCATTTTGGTGTCCTTTAAATGAGAAAGTATAGATAATATCAGTATAAGGAAAATCTCTGAGGAGGCTCATTCTCCATGGCCTCCTCTGAGGAGCCGCCACTGGAGCAAAGGTTCATTGTGGGTATTTTATAAGGATGTATTTTATTTTATTTATGAGAACCGATTTTCTCATTTCATCATTCAAAATTTCGATTTTGGAAAAACCTAGATAGACAAAAAAAGAAATCATATCATGATTGAAATAATAGGAACTCAAATTCATCAACAATTTAATAATTGTACCATATATACAAGGGCAAGGATTAAAAACACAAGAAAAAAAATCTAACAATCACAGTCATTCTGCTTGATCTAAAAAAACTTAATGTATTTACAATCAAATAAGTTAATATAAAAATACAACATGGTAAGTGAAATATTTGAACATAGTTGGAGCTACAAAATTGAATTTCAGTTCCACTAAACTTATGACAGAATCTGTGAAAGCAAAGTAATCTACAGGGCGTCTCAATCGAGACGATTAATTTCTCCGTATCTTCAGCAATAATATCAAAACATTCGAAAAATATGCAGAGCAAATTAGTCTAAAGTGAGACACCCTGTCTACTGTTAATGAAGCATTATTATCAGTTTTAGTAAAATACTGTTATAAACTGCTCCACACTTTTGAAGGAGAAATCGAAACATTTTTTATGTAATTTGAATATAGTTCAGAATAATCTACTACAGGGTGATGTCAATTTTTTTCCAACTTTCGTTAACGGAAAATCAAAATCACTGTAGTTGGATTGGGGCTGCAATGAAATTTCAAAGCATCGTAATTATTGTGAATTGCGATATCAGGGGCGTACTCATTTTTTTAAAGGACTCAAAATTGTAAAACAAAAAATGAAAATTTGAGGGGAGCCGTGAAACTAATCTAGAAAAATGATTTACAGGGTAGCCCTAAGGTAAGAAAAGCTGATGGCTTCAAATACAGGAAAAAATAATAGTTACTCTTTCATCCCTATATTCTGAATACCCTGTGGCAAGAGTGATTAATTCATTGTTTTGGATTGAAGTGTGATTCCTTCGAGCATTATAGGAATTTCGTTTCGTGAGCTCCAAGAGATCAAAAATAATAAATCAAACTTGCGAACTCAGGAGCGTACCTAATTATTTTTATGAAGGGTTCAGATCACCATAATCTTTAAAAAACTTCTCCATGTTTCAATAGAGAATCAATATCACTCCAGGGGCCTATGATTTTTTTTCTGGGGTCTTATATATAGAATGTTCCAAATTTGCTGGGAATGCTACCACGTGTAATTCCCGGTAAAAATTAGTTGATTGGACCCAATTTATTTATATGCTAAAAAGTACCGGGTGTCCGAGAGACGAGTTTTTTTTTAATTAATGTTCAATATGACGCCCACCTTCTTCAATACAAATGTCAATTCCTTTGTTTGCACTGCCAACTAATTTTGTGTTACAATTTCATCAGACTTACTAGAAATATCAGTGAGCATTACTTGAGAAAACATTTCTTTCCTTCCGAACTATGCTGAATAATAAATCTTCACAAGAGTAACAAAATGAAGATAATCAATCAGTCATCTTGCTCAAAAAATTGGAGAATCCTATTAATGCCCCTAAGAATGGTCTGAAAAAATTTTCAGGGGTTGAGAGTGGTTTTAACCTTCCTACAATTTCTTTTGGGTTCCTTTGATTACTGACAGAAGGGTTATCCTCTATAATGCACATTTGTCAAATTTCATCAAATACGTTTCAGCAATTTTTGAACAACGTAAAAAATGTGTTATTTAATGTGAACTTTGAACTCCTCTCACGGACAAAGGGTACATATTTTTATAAAAATAAGTTGGGACCAATCAACTTATTTTGTACTTATGTGAAAAATTATCGAAATCAAGACTTATATTCTTTTCAAGAATTGACAATCTAGAGAAAATGTCATAATTTCCAAATTCCTGAGATAACATTCAGAAAAGAAACAAAAACTGCGACGTCAGGGGTGTACTCATATTTTTTCAAGGGAGGAGAAACAATCAAACTTGTGAACTCAGTATGGTAACTAATCCATTTTTGAGGGGTTCATACTGCCCAAATTCGAGAATCGGAATACTTTCAGAGGCGTACAATGTTTTTCTGGATGAAAATATTTGAAGAATTATCGAATCAAGACTTCATTGGCATACTGATTTTTTTTTCTGAAATGGATCTCAAAATTGAAAAATTGTAATTCCGAAATTCCTTAGCTTTCAGAAAAGAAACAAGAATTGCGACGTCAGGGGCGTAACTCATTATTTTTCAAGCAAAGAACGACAATCAAGCTTGTGAACTCAGTAGCGAACCTAATCAATTTTTGAGGGATTCAAATTGAGCAATTTCGAAAAACATTCTAATGTGTTTCAAGAGAGAATCGGAACAATTTCAGGAGCGTACGATGTTTTTCTGAAGGGGGCAAACATGAACATTTTTGAAAAATTATCGAATCAAGACTCCATTGGCGTACTGATATTTTTTTCTGAAAAGGGTCGCAAAATAGAAAAATTGTAAATCCGAAATTCCTCAGCATTCAGAGAAGAAACAAGAATTGCGACGTCAGTAGCGTACCTAATCAATTTTTGAGGGGTTCAAATAATACAATTTCGAAAATCATTCCACGTGTTTCAAGAGGAAATCGGAATAATTTCAGGGGCGTACGATGTTTTTCTGGAGGAGGACATACATGAAAATTTATGTAAAATCATCCAATCAAGACTGTATTGGCGTACTGATATTTTTTTCAGAAAAGGGTCTCAAAAATGAAAAATTGTAATTCCAAAATTCCTCAGCTTTCAGAAAAGAAACAAGAATTGCGACGTCAGGGGCGTACCTCACCAATTTTTGAGGGGTTCAAATTGCCCAATTTCGAAATTCATGTTTCGAGAGAAAATCGAAATAATTTCAGGGCCGTACGATGTTTTTCTAGAGGGGGCATACATGAAAAATGTTTGAAAAATTATCGAATCAAGACTTTATTGGCGTACTGATTTTTTTTTTCTGTAACGGATCTCAAAATTGAGAAAAATAGCTTTCAGAAAAGAAACAAAAATTGCGATGTCAAGGGCGTACTCATAATTTTTCAAAGAAAGAAAATCAAGCTTGTGGACTAAGTAGCGTACCTAGTCAATTTTTGCGGGGTTCAAAGTGCCCAATTTCGAAAATCATTCTATGTGTGCCAATAGAGAATCGGAATGATTTGTGATTTCAGGGGCGTACGGTGTTTTTCTGGAGGGGCATACATGGAAAATTCCGGAAAATTATCCAATCTAGACTTCATTGGTGTACTGATATTTTTTTCTAAAGAGGGATTCGAAATAGAAAAATTCCGAAATGTCTTCTATAGCATTTAGAAGAGAAACAAAAGTTGCGACTTCAGGGACGTACTCATCTCTTTTTTCAAAGAACAAAAATGAGAAAATGTCAGGATTCCGATTTTTTTGACACAATATGAGAAACATCAAACTTGCGAACTCGGGGGCGTGCCTAATTAATTTGCCGCCCAATTTCGAAAATCGATCTACGTGTGCCAATACAGAATCACTCCAGGGGCGTACAATATTTTTTAGGAGGTTATGCATGAAAAATTTCGAAAAAATTATCGAAATCACGACTTCATAGACTGCAACCAAAAGAGAATGGAAATTTTTTGACACAATATGTGAAACATCGAACTGGCGAACTCATGGGCGTGCCTTATCAATTTGCTAAAAGTTCAAATCGCCGAGATTTAGAAAATATTTCCACGTGTGTCATTACAAAATCTCTCCAGGGGCGTACAATATTTTTTAGGAGGTTATGCATGATTAATTTCGAAAAAAATTATCGAAATCGTGACTTCATTGGCGTATTGATATTTTTTTCGGCGAGAAAAATTTTCAAAATTCCGAAACTTCATGGACTGCAACCAAAAGAGTATGGAAATTTTTTGACACAATATGAAAAACATCAAACTTGCGAGCTCGGGGGCGTGCCTATTCAATTTTCCGAGGGGTTCAAATCGCCCCAATTTCAAAAATCGATCCACGTGTGTCAAAACAGATTCATTCCAGGGGCGTACAATATTTTTTAGGAGGTTTTGCATGAAAAATTAGATTCATTCCAGCGGCGTATAGTATTTTTTAGAATATTCATTTCAGAAAGTTATGCGTGAAAAAGTCAAAAAAAAATTATCGAGATCGCGACTTCATTGGCGTATTAATATTTTTTTCTTGCGGTCAGAATTACGACTTCAGGGGCGTACATATTTTTTACTAGGAGGATCACAGCAGAGAAAATGTATTTTTCACACTAATTTTTATTCGACTGAAAACCAATTTTGGTAATCATACTTCAACAAAAAAAAAATTTAAGGAGATTCACAATAATATTTAAACTTAAAATATTATGCTTTATTCATTCTGCCAGGAATAAATTAAAAATATCAAATTTAGCTTTAAATGAAGTCAATACAGTCCATAATTATGGGACTAGACAATTGAATTACTTGATAGCAAATACATTTAAGTCAAACATTGGCAAACAATCTGTTTTCACAATGGAAAAATTTTATACAATTCATTACCAAATGAGTTGAAAAATATACATGATGCAAGAAGGTTAAGAATTAATCTTAAAAAATACTTGTTCGGGACAATTTGAATGAAAAATATGTGGCATGATTTGATTACTCAGAAATGAAATATAACTTTAATCTTAAGAAACAATATTAATTTGTTTCCACTGAGTGGAATTCATTAGTGAACCCTTTATTATTATTTTTTTATATGTATTCATGTATCCTTATCATAAACAGAAAGTTTCCTTTTTTCTCAATTAAACTGAAACGAAAAAAAAAAAATCTGCAGAAATCAAAACAATAATTGAAACGAAATTGTTCCGATTTCACATTATCAAGTGTTGAGCAGCTTATTCCGAACCTAGCCTCAATTATCTGTTTTCTCTTCGGTTTTCCTATCATTACTCTCACTTTCAACTACTTTTTGCGCCTCATCGACCAACTCAAACCTTTTGCTGTCCTCGTCTGCCGGTTTTTCCTTGTCCTTTTCCACCAACACGAAATCAGTGGTGATATTTTCCGGCGGTTTTTCTTCACTTTCTCCTTTAGTTTCCACCTCCATTTCCGTCTGATCACTGGAAGGCTCCGCTTTCCTATTTTCCTCGGAGTTTTCGGAAGTTTCTGAAGTTTCTTTTTTCGGCTCGGTAGACTCTGAAGGGGTGCCTTGCATTTTTTGCACCCCTTCCATTTCCTCTTGGTTCAAAGCCGCCTTGGTTTCCAAGATGCCGATGGCTTTTTCTATGCATTTTATGGCTTCTTTTCTCGATGACCGAATAATATCTAGAGAGAAAAAAATTGCCCCTTCGTCAACAAGAAATGGTGTTTCAATCAGTTAGTATACAGGGTGATCCACGGTGGATGGCCGATTAGAAGTATCTGGAGAACGAGAAGACAGAACATTCTGAAAATTACGATGCTTTGATAATTTACTATTCTCTATCCGTCTAAAATATTTTCAACGATACAGTGTTGCCACTTCTATCAGAAACAACAAGCAACTCTCCGTTATTTAAATGGAGCATGTATAGGGTTCTTACGGGGTGCAATGCCTGGTGTTTGAATTAACCTTTAGTAGATTCAATTCTACAGAATAACTGCAAGAGTTAATGAAAAGATCAACGTATATTAGACAGTTCAATAAAAAATTATTATATCAACATCTATCAAAATTGACGACTACTCAACATATATCCCTATAGTCCAGGAAGTTAACCAAATCAGCTCCCTCTCATTAATAGTACAGGATCTATCTCGTTACAAGCACCCTGTATTTTATTGCATTTTTAGATGCTTCCTGAAGAGCTGATTTCATCAATGTATCACACTTGGAGTTTAGCAGGAATGATTAGAGAGATATAGAGTGTTCACAATCGAGATTTCTCAATTTCAGGATTTTTTTGTGTCGAAACTATTCAGTACCGATCAAAACGGCTTACATGTCCTATGTCAACATTTGATGCACTATCTACTGACATTCAATTGGAACAGATACAGGGTGATCAGAATCCTGATTCTTGAAGCATCCTGTATTTTTTCCAATTAAATTCCAGTAGCTAGTGAATCAGAAGTTAAGATAGGGACATGTGAGCCGCTTTGATCGATAATGAATAGTTTCGACACAAAAAAATCCTAAAATTGAAAAAATCTCGATTTTGAACACCCTATATCTCTGTCATCATTTCTGCTAGACTCCAAGTGTGATGCATTGATGAAATCAACTCTTCAGGAAGATTCTAAGAATGCAATAAAATACAGGGTGTTCTGTTTGAAATAACAAAGTTGCTAGTTGTTTCTGATAGAAGTGGCAATACTGTATCGATGAAAATATTTTAGACGGATAGAGAATGTTTAATTATCAAAGCATCTCAATTTTCAGAGTGTTCTGTCCTTTCGTTCTCCAGATACTTCTAATAGGCCATCCACCGTGGATCACCCTGTATTTTATGTTGTGTATTCATCAACACACTCTCATTATTTTATTTTCTGCTTCTTTTTAATATGGCTATCTGTGAACGCGTGTTTCTCTAGTTTTTCATACTACTATTTACTTTCTATTTTTTATTTCAACTACAAAAGCGTGTTTTGAGTTTTTCAAATTCTTTGTAAGTACAGAATTTTGACGAAAGATTCATAATCTCCGACCCCAAATACCCCCAGTTACAAAGTTTGAATAGAATCGGATCTTAATTACAAAACTCGTCCGCCATATTGGATCCGCCATCTAGAATTTCCTAATTTTGACGAAAGAATCATAGTCTCCGACCCCGAAAACCTCCAGATACAAAGTTTGAAGAAAAGCAGATCTTACTTACAAAACTTGACTTGGAGCCGCCATCTTAAGTTTTCAAATTTTGACAAAAGAATCACAATTTTTGACCCCAAAAACCCCAAGATACCAATTTTTTTTCTTCAACAAAAATATCATGATCAATAAAAGAATCATAATTGCCGACCGCAAAACCCCCATATACCAATTTTGGATAGAATCGGATCATAAATTCAAGGCTTAACTACCATTTTGGAGCCGCCATTTCGTTTTTTTTTTTTCATTATTCACAAGCTTTTATTCAACTTGCAATGTATGTATGGATGGTGGACTCTTTGAACTCAATTTTGAAGTAGATATCTTCAACCGATTGGGCTGAAATTTTGTATACACGTTTAGTTTGGATGACAATGCACGATAAGGTGTGTGAAGTTATTCTAAATCCAATAAGTCGAATAATAATGTGACGTCATTCTGAATCAAATATGGCGGACCATCCAAGATGGCAAAATGGTTATTTTCAATGCACTTCCACAATATGGGTATTAAATGAAAGGACTTGTTGAGAGTAACTCAAAAAATAATGTGACGTCATTTTAAATCCAATATGGCGGACCATTCAGGACGGCGTAATACATATTCCTAATGCACTTTTACAAAATGGATATCAAATGAAAGGACTTATTAAGAGTAACTCGAGAAATAATGTGACGTCATTTTAAATCCAATATGACGGACCACCCAAGACGGCATCATAGTTATTTTTAATGCACTTCTACAGTATGGGTTTCAAATGAAAGGGTTTATTGAGAGATACTCAAAAAATAATGTACCTAACGTTATTCTAAATCCAATATGGCGGAACCTACAAGATGGCGGAATAGTTGTTAATCATGCACTTTTGCAATATAGATATCAAATGAAAGGGCTTGCCGAGAATAATTAGAAATAATGTAACATCACTCAAAATCCAATATGGCACACTGAGCCTGTGCAATTTCCAGCAGAGTATAGTCACGGAACCGTGATTATAAAAGCTTGTCGGGATGATCACTATTTAATCAAATTAAAATTATTTTACAAAATTAAATTAGTAGTAGTTTATTCACATAAGTATTTCGTGCGACAAGCTTTTATGATCATATAAATTGTGTATAATGAGGTTATAAGTTGAGAGTTAAAATTATAAAGGAACATTTTATTCTATTCTTTTCAGGGCGTTTAAATGAAAGCTTTTTACTGAATTTTTTTCACTTTCTATTTATTTCCTTTAACAAAAATTCAATGATCAATAGAAGAATCATAGTTGCCGACTGCAAAAACCCCAAAATACAAATGTTTAATAGAATCGGATCATAATTACAAAATTTATTCGCCATTTTGGAGCCGTCATTTCTTTTTTCAATCTAACAAAAATTTCATGATCGATAGAAGAATCATAATTGCCGACCCCAAAAACCCCAAGTTACCAATTTTGAATAGAATCGGATCATAATTACAAAACTTATCCGCCATTTTGGAGCCGCCATTTCGTTTTTTTTTTCTCTTACAAAAATTTCATGATCGATTGTCACCAACATACCAAGCTGATAAGCGTATTAGAAATCGAAGAATTCAGTGTAACTGAAAAAATCATGATTCAATAACTTTTTTTTTTAAACTGACTGACCTTGACCCTGAGTATCAATGTTATCCAACTTGATCAAATTCCTGGTCAGCATCTCGTCCAAATACAGATACTGCTTGTCGCGCGGCTTGCCGTCGAATTTCTGCGCCTGCTCCATAAGCGCAGACACGTCTTTTTGGATCATCTGGATCTGCTCGATGGCGGCCAGCGATTTGTTTTCCGGGGGCGCCGGAGCCGGTTTCGACCGGTCTTCCGGTTGGGGACCTGAGAAAAAATAAATTGGAAGGTGCACCCTGTTGGAAACTCGAATATTTCGAACAAAAAAAACTAGTTCAATTGTGGAGCAGTTTATTCCATCTTGTAATATATTTCATTGGGAATGAGATTGTGTACTTTCTTCACTTGTAGTTCAAGAATTTCACTCGATTATTTTACAATTATTCCTTCCTTTGGTAAAACTGCACTTATCATAAGATGGTTTCTTTTTCGAAAATTGTTTTTGGTACTTACGTATTTTTGTCTGAAAAAACGGATTTGATAATGAAAATGTGAACAAACCACTATTTATCGAGATATTTAAAAAAAAATCGGAATTTTCGCCTTCTTTTTTCCCCTGTGTTGGATGCATTTACAGCTACTTGTTCTTCTTATTTTGTCATTGGACACTTTATACAGTGTCATTCATAAAGTCAGCATCATATGGGAAAAACTTTTATTAATGACTTATTTTGGAATTCGAGTTGGACGTTGAGTTTCGCTTCAAAAAAGATGAAAAACGGCCTACTCAATCGGGGTCACGTGACTTTCGCTACATGTCAAAAGTGAAATTTTTTCAAATTGATCGCTGAAAGTAGGCTTATTTGTTCGAATATCGAAAAAGTTTACTTGAAAAAGTTGTTTTAATTTCAATTTAACACATGCTATTCGAATTTGACCATTTTATTGCAATTTTTAGATTTTGATTTTTTTCAAATGTTTCGAAATTTCTGTAATATTTGAAGAATTGTTAATTCCACGAAACTACTTCATACCAGTAGCTTTTTCATGCTACTCACTTTCAATATTACTTATTATCACTGATTATGGACAGAAATATGATTTTCTTCAGAAAATGATAATCCCCGCTTTCAAATTCTGTTATGTTTGATGCAAAGTTGATATATCGTCAAGCATTTAGAAACGAAATTCATTTAAACTGATCTTTTCAGTACTGGAAAAATAAATTTAAATGAATTTCGTTTCCTTATGCTTGACTCAAAAATAACAGAATTTTGATGTTATGTTTGCATCAAACATAACAGAATTTTGAAGCGGAGATTATCATTTTCTGAAGAAAATCATATTTTTGTTGATGATTAGTGATAATTAGTAATTGAAAGTAAGTAACATGATGAAGCTACTGGTATCAAGTAGTTTTATCGAATTTACAATTTTTTTAATAATACAAAAATTTCGAAAATTTTTAAAAAATATCGAAATCTAAAAAATGTAATAGAAAGATAAAATCCGAGTCACATATGTAAAATTTGAATAGAAACAACTTTTTATATTGAACTTTTTCGATATTCGAACAAATAAGCCTACTTTCAGCGATTAATTTGAAAAATGTCACTTTTGACATGTAGCGAAAGTCACGTGACCCCGATTGAGTAGGCCATTTTTTATCTTGTTTGGAGCAAAACTTCCAACTCGAATTTCAAAATAAGTCATTAATAAAAGTTTTTCCCATATGATGCCGACTTTATGAATGACACTGTATACTCATCATCATCATTCATTAATTCCCATAAGACAAGTATACATTGTATTGGTGAAGTCATCATCATTAAATAATATATACAAAAGTTTGAAGAAGAAGAAGAAGAAGAAGAAGAAAAACAGAGGAAGAAATATACAGGGTGTCTGTGAAAGGTTGGGACATGGCTCGGCTGTGGACTCCTGCGATAAAAACAAGTTGATTTAGGCCAACTTACCTATATCCAAAATCGTCTCGTTGAGTTGGTACAAGGCGTTGAAGTTTTTTTGGAAAAAAATAATTTTGCTCATAAAAAGAGTAGGCTGAGATCGATTTTCATAATTTTTGGCATGGCATGTTCTGTGCATATACGTATTAATAAACAATACGGATCATAACGGGTGCCAGGATGAAGCCAAAAATATGAAACAAATGAATATCCATAAGGGTTTGGTGGCATGATACGCATGCGCCATGCGCTATTATAGTGGTCATCAAAGACATGCGTTTCGGTGGACAATGACGTTTACTAGCCTTTCAATCAAAGCAGTATGTGTCTGATCGTTTCAAAACTTGTCCTTATGGATAGTCATTTGACTCATTTGTCTTCAAAAATCGGCTTCATGTTTCGCTATGGAAACAGATAGAGATTATCCGTATTGATTATTAATACGTATATGGTTCTGTGACTGTAAGTCGTTTTGAGATGGTTTTGATCATCATCAGTGACCTGCAAGTGTTTCAAACAACCATGTTGCCGTACCAATTTGGTGATAACTTTTCAGAGGTCAGACTGGAAACTGTCAGTTTTTTTTTCAGAAAGATGTTCCCTTCACAAATATTTTTTGTATCGTGTTAATTTTCGATAAGTCTCGAGGTTCATTTGCAAATAAATAATATCTGATCTGAGGCATCTTATGCATTTGAAAAAAAAATCTGGTTGGGACATAGCTTGACTGTAGACTCCTGAGATGAAAATAAGTTAATTTTAGCCAACTTACCTATATCCAAAATCGTTTCGCTGAGTTGGTACAAGGCGTTAGTTCTCACCTCAGATCCTGAATAGTTAACACTTAATTTGTAACGCGAGAGTTCTTGTAAAGTCCACGAGGACCAGCAACATATCAGTTTATTCACAATAAGAATACAGTGTAGCCATAATCAATAAACAGTCCGACTAATTAGATTAATTTTCAAAAATGCGCAGGATGCGTCATATCAGAAATTATTTATTTGCAAATGAACCTCGAGACTTATCAAAAATTAACACGATACAAAAAATATTTCTGAAGAGAATATCTTTCTGGAAAAACAAAACTGGAAGTTTCGAGTCCGACCTCTGAAAAGTCATCACCAAATTTGTACGGCAACATGGTTATTGTTTGAAACACTTGCAGGTCACTGATGATGATCAAAAACATCACAAAACGTGACTTACAGTCACAGAACATGCCATGCCAAAAATTATGAAAATCGATTTCAGCCTACTCTTTTTATGAGCATAATTATTTTTTTCCAGAAAAACTTCAGTGCCTTGTACCAACTCAACGAGACGATTTTGGATATAGGTAAGTTGGCCTAAATCAACTTGTTTTTATCCCAGGAGTCCACAGCCGAGCCATGTCCCAAACTTTTACAGACACCCTGTATACATTTAGATACCTACTGAGATTTAACACAGTGATGGAATTGAATTATTTAAGAATAAACATTAACGATTACATTAATGATAACAATGAATAAGTCGCCATGACAAGCTTCAACTCCTGGTATTCGAAAAGAATTCATTTGAATTGTAGAAACATTTTTTCAACAAAAATTCTTTCAACTCCCTCTTGAAAACAGTTGATGTTGAAATGACTTTCAAATAATCTGGTAGTTTGTTGAACACTTTCAAACCCATATGATCAGGTGAGCTCAAAGAAATTTTATTTCTAGAAATAGGTACAGGGTGATTGACTATGGATTTCACGACTTCAACAGCTGATATCTCGAAAACGAAAAAAAATATTTGAAATTTGGAAAAAGGTACTAGAATGAGATGTCATTTTCTTCTAGAAAATGTGTTTTCCATCTCTCGAGAGCAAATAGGATAAATACGCATCCAACATTTTATTTACAATCATATAACAATCATACTATAACAATAACAAAAATATTTCTGGAATTCGATCAAATCAAATGGGAAAAACACTTCCATTATTTTCACGACAACAATTCAGGCGTTTGATGAATGATGTCTTCAATTTATCAAAAAGCTCCGGGTTTGCATTTAGATCCGCAATCTCTACTATTATTTTATCGCGTATTTTATCTAAATTATTGGCTCTTTGCCTATAAACTCTCTCTTTTAATGTTCCCCACAGAAAGAAGTCGAGTGGTGTAAGATCTGGGCTTCTTGGTGGCCAGGAAATCGTGCCGCGCCTTCCTATCCACTCATTATAATTTGAATTCAAATATTGAATAATGAGGTTTGTGGAATGCCAAGGTGCACCGTCTTGTTGCCAGATTATCCTTCTAGATATTTCTAGTGGCATTTCGTCTATGAAATCTTGAATTTCATTTTGAAGTAGGCTCAGGTACCGGGTGACCAGTTATATTCTGACCCATTTCAAATGCTCATATCTCTGAAACCATTCAAGTTATCGTTGTACAGTTTGGACCAGTCTATTTTGATGTTTTTCAAGTTTTTTTTGACGTGTTCATCTTCTCACTTGAACTTCCGGTTCTACCGGAAACAAACAAGCAATATTCCAGGTATAGGGCAACTTTCTTATTTCATTGAATCACCCTGTATATTTTTGCACATTCAGAAAGACTGGTCTTTTCTCTATCTAACAATGTATTACAAGTTATGTTCTCCTAGAAAACTATTAGAGTTATAACTCTTTGAAACAACTACTGCTTGTGGAATGGTTTAATGAGATTATGCAATGTTATCAAAGTTGCCCTATACCTGAATAATGGCTTGTTTGTTTCCGGTAGAACCGGAAGTTCAGGTGAGAAGGTGAACCAGTCAAAACAGAGAAGTCCAAACCGCACAACGACAATTTGAATAGTTTTGGAGATATGAGCAATTGAAATGGGTCAGAATATAACTGGTCACCCGGTATCTTCTCTGATCCAAATTCCCATCTATGAAGATTGGTCCCAATATTTTTCCATTATGAATGCCACACCAAACAAGAATAGACGACGGACCTTGTTTCTGTATTGCTTGAAAAGCATGCAGGTACATGAAAATGTCCCTTTTGCCTTGTACAGTAATTATGAGAATGTTCATTGAGTGAACATTTTTGGATATTTTTGAACACATAAAGGCTCAATTCATTGTATAAACATGTTGAAGGCAAAATACTCATGATGTACTCAAATGACACTATTTTATATAAAAAAATTCAACAGGAGATATGATTTTTATGGCGAGTTTTTCATATTTAGTGAACAAGCATACCAGATGACGGCCATTTAATCAATAGTAAATCCAAATACGAGATTTCAAATGTCAACAGAGTGCTTTTGAATGACA